TGTGTGTGTGTCTATTTTCAGTAGAGACAGGATTTCACAGTGTCAGCCAGGCTGGTCTCAAACTTCTGACCTCAAGTGATCCACTTGCCTTGACCTCCAAAAGTGCTGGGATTAAAAGCATGAGTCACTGAGCCTGGCCTGTGGGTGGCACATATATTTCTAATTGCTGGATATAACTATAACTGAATTCCATCAGCTTTGCATAAAATGTAATCTGGACTTATCTCTGACCTTATCCTCACACCAACTTACTGCACCCCTTAACTCAGAAAAATCAATAGTTGATGATAATTCTTCTAGATGGTTCATAGGGTTATCATTGTGAATAATCATTGCACTCAGTGATGTCTTCAGGAATGACTGAGATAAACTAGAAAGCTTACCCAGCTTGCTATGCTTTTGAGCTCTTAAATCTGCTTTAGATAGCTTTTCCATATCCTAGCTTGTATGCGGTGTCACTTTTTGCTACTGTAAGTATTTTTGCTTCTACGAGGTAGCCACTTTTACAAACTGTTTCTAAATAGTAGCATGCTGGCAAACCAATTTCCTAAGGCAAAGTCTTAGTTAAGCGTAAACAGTGCTGATTGTAGGCCTGAGGCAATCTGTCTCATTTAAGATACGAACTTGGGCTATATATGTGGTTCTAAATCTAAAGTTGTCTTAGTTTGAAAATAATGCACAGATGCCTATCGAAAAGAAATGTCAGACTCTATGATGTTAAGTCTCTGCAAAGGCTGCTAAATAATTCTAAAATTCAATTCCTGGGCTCATCAGTTGACCATTTACCAGCTCTCATGTGAATTAGCAAGAAAGATCAAATATACATGACCTCAGTTGTACTGAGCAGTTGCAAGAACATTTTACAGAAACTCAGAAGAAGTTAGAATAAAGAAGCCAATCAATAAATCAATAGAGCACTTTCAATCAACTCAGCCAATGAAATTATTTTGATAAAGAACATTTTTAAGGGAACAAAGCAAACTTATGACAATACACTAGGTACTAGTAATCTTTATACTAATGGTATCATTTTCCAGCAAATTTAAGGCTCATTCTGTCTTTGGATGCACGAGCACATACCTTTGAACAAGTGGCAAAGGAAGGAAATTGAGGGTGGAAGTCATGTCCAGTCCGCAGTCCAACATAATGGTGGTTGATTTGAATTTGAGCACATTGCATGGTAAGGTTGGGTGCCCAGACAGGCAATACTGAAAAAAAAAATGAAATCACTCTGATCAGTAATCAAGAAGTTTACAAAGTAAAGTGAATTAAACAACAGTGACCGTCTTCTCTCATGAGGCCAGTGTGTTAAGTTCAACTAACTTTCTACGTGGTTTCCTCCCTCTAACTGCTTGGGGACTACCTTCCCTAGCAGTTCAAAATACCCAAAGTCTCAGATCACATCCATCTGTCTTTTCACAGGGTGCCAAGCTATGCTTTATGCAAGCCCAGTTTTAGATGGGCCACAGTTATTCAAAATAGAAGGTTTCAAGGCTAAGGGTATCCATTCCGTTTTCATAAGACACTGGCAAATTCTCATTTTCCCCTTTGTATGTAAGTACTGTCTAAAGCTGTAGATGTCAACGAAACTCTAAGCTGGACACAAACTGTGCTCTAGGTTTGGTTTTTTCCCCTTGTAAATAAGTGACCTTCCTCAAAGATGAACTGGTTAGAAAGGTTAACAAGCATGAGTAAAGGTTTATGCTCAGTCTTGTAAGAAGAAATGACTCAAAGGACAAGTGACTTCCCTGACGTGCAGACACTAGGCAGGAGTGTGAGAACCTACTTCTAGCCAAGCAGGAGTCTCTTGCCTGTGGCAGCAGAGCTCAGAAGTCAAAGGGGCACAAGCCACCGTGGTGTCTTCAAAGGAGAGTGAACACAACACACAGACCGAAACATTTCTCATGTTCTCCTCAATGTCATGGGAGTGACAGATCTGCCACACTGAAAACTATCTATATGGGATGTGCTCTGCCACTTTTAATACTTCTATTGCTGTTCTGAAGAAAAGAAATGGACAAAGACCCTTTTCCCAACTTTTAAAACCCTCCCTTGAGCAGCAAAGCCCAGAAAACAAAGGGAACAGTGTGCTGAATCCACCAGCAAGTCCATTCTCTCCTTTTATTATTATTAATTTTTTTGAGACACTCTCGCTCTGTCACCCAGGCTGGAGGGTAGTGGTGTGGTCTTGGCTTACTGCAACCTCTGCTTCGCTGGTTCAAGCAATTTTTCTGCCTTAGCCTCCCAAGTAGCTGCGATTGGAGGTGTCTGCCACCATGCCTGGCTAACTGTTTTGTATTTTTAGTAAAGATGGGGTTTTACCATGTTGGCCAGGCTGGTCACTAACTCCTGACCTCAAGTGATTTGCCTGCCTCCTCCGCCTCCTGAAGTGCTGGGGTTATGGGCATGAGCCATGGCGCCCAGCCCTCTCCTTCTGATTTAAGCATAAGGAAAGCACAAGTGGGAGTGATGCTCCACCCATGGCCAGCCCCCTATGGCCACAGTCACTTAGGCTGTCTTTCCACGTATTCCAGGTATTGTTATTGGTTCTATCTTTCAAGCGGAGGAATTTTCCACTTTTCTACAGAGGACATTACAGGAACTAAAGATTTCTGAAAACTGCATGTTCTAAAAATAGTAAGGCCGAGAGCCAAGAAGTTGTATTTTGCAAGCTTTTCCTTTATTCCAAGTTTACGCAGGATGGTATTTTACCAAACCAAAATTCACAATTCATGGTCTGAAAAGATACAAGGTACTTATGATGAAAACAATAGAAATTATTTCAAACTGCAATTGTCCTGAAGAAGTCTTTTTTTTTTTTTTTTTTTCTTTCTGAGGCGGAGTTTCGCTCTTGTTACCCAGGCTGGAGTGCAATGGCGCGATCTCGGCTCACCGCAACCTCCGCCTCCTGGGTTCAGGCAATTCTCCTGCCTCAGCCTCCTGAGTAGCTGGGATTACAGGCATGCGCCACCATGCCCAGCTAATTTTTTGTATTTTTAGTAGATACGGGGTTTCACCATGTTGACCAGGATGGTCTCGATCTCTTGACCTCGTGATCCACCCGCCTCGGCCTCCCAAAGTGCCGGGATTACAGGCTTGAGCCACCGCGCCCGGCATCCTGAAGAAGTCTTAAGATGCATGATTTTGGCAATTACACTTTACATAAGTTCCTTCTTTGACAGGTACCAGAATTACAGAAAGCTTTTTCCTCCTAATTAAGACAGAGATGTTCCTAACCTAGCTTCCATGTGTCTCCCTATTGCTACTGGTCTTTATTCCAATCTAAGAACTGTTTGTTAAAGATAAACTATCTCAAAATGAACACACAGCATCATGTTAAACTTGCTCTAAATACAGCAAACGTTCTAGTAAAAGCTTTCCTATATTTTTCCTTTTGAAAATAAGAAAAAATCAGATATTCAGAAAAGCATGGAAGAAAATAAAATGAAATGCATTTAACAGTCATTTCTGAGTGGGAAAATTATTGTCCAATTTTCTTCTTTTGACTTTCTGTTTTCCAAACACTCAGCAATGAGCTTTTACTACATTTTTATAATCAGAAAAAAAATATTAAAACAAAACAGAAAATCGGCTAGGCATGGTGGCTCACACCTACAATCCCAGCACTTCGGGAGGCCGAGGTGGGCAGGTCACGAGGTCAAGAGATCAAGACCATCCTGGCCAACATGGTGAAACCCTCCCCCTACTAAAAATACAAAAATTAGTTGGGCGTGGTGGCAGGTGCCTGTAGTTCCAGCTACCTGGGAGGTTAAGGCAGGCAAATTGCTTGAACTTGGGAGGTGGAGGTTGCAGTGAGCTGAGATCAGGTCACTGCATTCCAGCCTGGGCGACAGAGCAAGACTCCATCTCCAAAAAAAAATCCAAAAAAAAAACCCAAAAACAAAAACCCCAGAAAATTTAGCCAGCCACACTGAATGACAAAATCTTTTTTTACCTTCCTCCTTAATTCTAAATTATGGAGGATAAGGTACACCAGAAAACAGAAGAACATGTAAATTTTTTAAAAAGCTGATGCTCAAAAGATTTCAGCAAAATAAGTTCATTGAAAGGCTTTACATTTGTTACCGTCCTTAAAGCCCAAGGGCCAAAGAAAAGTGAGGAATGCTTTCTAATGGTTACCACCAAATGGAACAACATTTTCAGAGCACTGACAAAAGGTGCCAGACCTCAAGCTCATTTGCCTTATTTCTATGGATGAGAAGGTTGAGCTCTACCCAGTTTCAGCAGCTTTTCTGGAAAGAGCCGAAGACACATAGCGAGGTCCCTCTGACTCCAACGATCCCATTCATACTTCGCAAACCGCCCACCATGGGTCAACTGAGGGCATGGAAGCACAGAGTGGCTGCCTGAGGTTCACACACACATAGGTGCCTGCCAAGAGCCCAGACCCTGTGACCTCCAGTGATGTTCTTTGTACAATTCCAGTATCCTGCCTCTGTCACCAAGCAGCATATCATCTACTGAGGGTTATGAGACTAAGGCAGAAAACAAGTAAGTAATTATGGAAATAAAATTAACAAGTCACACCAATCTGATTAGTTTTTATATTCCATCTTTTTCCATATTTGTAAAAGCTGTAATTTTAGTGTTCGTACTGCTCTGTGTGTTGCTTCCACTCTTGATGACTACTACGTTTTCCTTATGTTGCATCACCCTTCATTTTTACTGGTCTAAGTCAATATACCATGGTTGGTTTGGTCATTCATTCCCTCATCGTTGGAACACTGAAGGTTGTTTCCTGTCACTCTGCTATTACAAGCATGGCTG